AAGGGGAAGGTATCATAGCAGGAAAGGTAATGATTAATCCATTCTGCAAGAAAAAAGAAGAATTCTGATTGCGAACTTACTGGTATTATCTAACCAGTATAAATAGAAGTGTACTCAGAGAAGGCACAGGATGGAAAACTCATGATGAATTGTTAGGGCATGTTGAGTTGGTTCTGTCAATGCCTGCAGTCAGATGATTTCACTGGCTGTACAAGATGAAATCTCATATTTCAATGTATAAGTAAAAGTGTCAAAGTTCAGCTGAAGCAGGGACGAATACAGAACAAATTTTGTGTGTATTTGTTACTAGGGCACCAGAGCAATAGAGGAAGCCAAAATGAGCCGGAAAAGCAAAAGGAGTGTAAAGGAGAAATTTGCCTTGAAGAACAGCTTGGTTAAAGAAGCCCTCTCAGAATTCCTGGGAACTTTTCTATTGATAGTAAGTGTCAGCTGCTTTCCTTTCTTCCTACTAATCTAATGTTGGACAGTGCTTGTAAGGGGACGTGTATGCTTTTTCTTGTACTGTACCAGCAGCGTGGTTACTGCCTGACAAACATTGTACAGCCTTGAATGAATTGCTTCTATTTATGGTAAGTTTGTAATTCCTTTCTTCACCTGATGTAAATATCACTGGCTATTAAAAATAGATAGCTTTATGTATTACAATTGTCTGATAAGCATTTGATTTCATATAGGAACAGAATTTCAGTGAACTACCATACTCTGAAAAATCCAGATATGCACAATGAACTTTAATAATGCTCTTGCTTTTGTTTTTAAAAACCTCAGCAGTTTATTCTACTTTCACTTCCATGTACAACTTCCATTTGCTTTAACAAACATACTATATTGCACGTTAAGAGAATTTTAGCTGAGTTATTCTCCTGTGCAATATAGAAATTTAGCTGTGTGATTTGTAGTGAATTTATTGGGAGTTGCATTGCCGAACCTTCAGAGATTTTGTAACTTAACTATTTTTTGGTTTGTTTTTAACTGTACTACATGTTATACAGTTGCTTGGTCCTGTAGTGCTGCTACAATTTAGGTAAATACCAAAACTCCCCATTTTCATATCCCTAGATTTTTTTTTTTTTTTACTTAATTTCTTGCTCAATTTTTCTGTGCATTTTGCACTGGGACACAGAGCTGTTTGGTGATTTACCAGGGTAGAGAGCAGGCTCAGTAGCAGAGCTGGAAGTCAAGCAGCTAGAGTATTTATGCCAAACTCTTTCTTCCTCCTTTTAGTCTAAACAAGACAGTCTTCCTTATTGCTAAATATTTCTTCATAGTGAAAGGGCAGAAAAAAAAAAAGAAGCAGGCACAGTACTGACATAGTATTTTTTATAACTGTAACTATATTAGCTAAATTTCAAGTAAGTCATCTAAAAAATTCCAGTAGCTCATAAAATACATGAAAATAATGGTCTTTACTACACTTCAGCCAACTGAAGTGCACAGGCACTAAAGTAACATTATTCTCAAATTTAATACCATCCATAAGACATTATTACAGTAAGGAGCACATTCAGAAGCAAGGAGCACAAAGCACTTTACAAACATTAATAAATTAAGTGTCATAACACCCTGGTAAGGAGGGGAAATGTCATTATCTTCATTTTATATATTAGCAAACCTGATTACAGCAGACTGCACAGGAAGCCTGTGGCAGAACTCTGAACATAACCCGGATCACCTGACTTCCAGCACTGTGTCCTCGCCACAAGATCATCCTCCTCTTTCCATTAATACAATAAAGCAAGTGAAGAAAACGTATTAAAGTGCAGATTAGACCGCAAATGCTATTATTTAATGTCCTGCTGCACAAGACTAGAAGGAAATGCAAACCCAGAGCCCATTTTCTAGTATATTCACCATATGAATATAGTAGAAAGTGAAGCTACAAAATTGTTGATAATCTGACTTTCTCAATGCTATCTTACTCTTTCTAGTTTCAACTTCGGCTTAAAGCAGAGAAGAGCTTCACATGGATTAAACTGCAGCTTTCTCAGTGCTTGGATACCTCAATTTATGTTTAGACCCTGCAAGTTAGCTGCAGTACAAAGCGTTTATTGTGAAGAAACTGACTTTTCTGCTGTTACTTATTGCTATTGCTTTTAGGCTCTGTCAGCTAGTAAGTAGTTTCTCTTTAAGAACAGATAAATATTAAACCCTTAACTTAAGTTGGAGCTAATGAAAGGGGCACCCTGGTAAGTCAGAGGGCAGAAATCCTTGAAAAACAGACCCCATGTATGCAAAAGAAGTGATCGCTTTCTTCCACCATCCTATTACTACCTCTTAATCCTGTTACAAAGTGAAAGTGAGACAAGAGTTCACGGCCTACAGCACAGTTGATTCAGATCTTTGCTGAAAGCCATTTCATGTCACTGTGATGGGTTTTGCAGCTGTGGGGAGCACCTGTGCCAGGCAGCAAGGCAGGGACGAAACTTTATTACCCACAGGCACTGTCTGGAAGTCAATGCTAACTGACTGTACCTGAATTTGTGATCAACCTAGCACCTCTGGAAGTTAGCCAGGTGAAATTTCCGCCCCCCCCCCCCACACCCAGATCACCTATTTCTATTTTTTCTGCAGAACAACATCCCAGACCACATACTATTAAAAGCTTAAACTACATTCTTTGGTAACTCTCAAGCCTCACAACATTATTTTCCAAACTGGAAAATGTACAAACTGTGAGATGAATTTCAGGACATCTAGAAAGTGAAATCACTCATCAGGAAAAACCCAAGCCTTCACCTGGGGGTGAGAAGGGCTTTGCCTGCAATGTCGAACAGATTTGAGAAAACAAGCCGTGAGAAAGTCACTGAGTATACAGTTTGGATAACATCTCTTGGTCATCCCTACTTAATATGCTGTGGTTTGCCTTGCAGCATGGTCTCAGAACATGTAAACTGAATTCTTTTTAGATGAAACAAAAGTGGAAGGTGAGCTCCAGAATCACAGCAAATGTGCTGATCATGAATGGATGCTCAGCCCAGTGGATCAGACTGGAGATACTCGTAGGTAATCCCTCCTGAGACGTCCATAGTCACGTTCTCTGAACCAGCGGCTTGAACTGCATGACTTGATTATACAGGTATAGCCTGTGTAAGCCCCTCTCTCTGCTTATCAAAGCACCTGATTCCAACCTATTTGAGGGTTCAGTGAGGAACACTAAACTCTAGGAACCTGGAAGTGCCCTGCTGTATAGGCAGATCTGATGGTATACAGAGTGGCTGCCGTTATCGCCTGTCTGGGTAATACTGCTGGTGATTAGGCTATTTTACTCTTCAACCTATTCTTCTGGGGGAACAAGTATTTCTTTCAGTTATCAAGCCTTGAATTATTCCCCAAGGCATAGCACAGCTTCTCTAATTACACTCTGGAACAAGAGTTGGGGCAGAAACCCCAAAATGTACAGTCCATAAATGCAAATTGCGTGTGGTTTTGGTTACCCTGAGCTTTTGGTTACTGTCTTGAACTATATCATATTCACTTTTGAAGGTTCCATCAAGCTCAGAAAAAGAAAATGTTGCACTTCCCCTCTTATGTGATATCTATAAAACAAACAGAGTGATGCAATTTTAATGTAACTAAGCTACATTTGCAGTACAGACCATGAGGAGCATGCATGATGCTGGGTATTTATATTTGCAGATTATTTGTAAATTCCTGCCCATTTCTTGCATTTACCTTGGTGCTGTCACATGGCAAACCCCCAACTTACAAAGTTTAATTGTACCATTTGTAATTTAGAATAAATATCCACAAAAAAACTACAATCTACCCATAAAGTTTTCAATGAACATTTGAAAAGGAGACAACTGTTTTCCAGGAAATGGGTACTGAGTAATGTGCGTTTTACACAGTGTGTTTGGAACCAACTTGAGGGACTGGTCCCTCCATCCTACACCTATGCAACAGGTCCCTGAGGTGGGAGAACACCAGCCCATTTGTACCATGGTGGCTGAGAAGCCAGCACGCACACACATTTCCCAGCCTCTGACACAGCCTCAGCCTTCTGTAGCTGGGGCTGCCCCTGAGGCCTCCCTTGAGAATGAGGTCTCTGGAGAGCTTTTTGTTCTCCAACATTCTGTCTCCTGGCTCAGTACCTTTCCTCTTGGGGCTCCTGTGGGTTACTGTGGGGAACAACATCTGGGTGCCAGCACAAAAGAGTCAAGAAGCCATGCAGCATCAGATAGATGGTTTCCGTGACTTTTCAGTGTGTCTCTCTGGGACTCACCTATCCAACTGCCTCTCTGCTTTTAGTTGTGCTCCTCTCCATATTTCCCCTTTGGACCTTGGCTGCATTGCTCTCAAACAAAATGGGATTTACTCTGACTTACACCATTAAGTATATCTGAATTGGAACAGTTCCAAAAAAGGAAGCCAAATGGGCCATGTGTCTTCCTTTACCGGCTACTGCTCACCTAATATAGTTTGTATTTAATTGTCATCTCAAGAGCGTCTTACTAAACGCAGTTTCCCAGAAAGGAGCAGCACAGGAGCCAGTATCTCCTGAGTCCAGAACAGTGTACACTTCCTTGCTGAAACAGAACACAGGCTTCCATTTAGCATACAAAGACAAGTAGGTAGTATATATATTCCTATCCCAAAACTTAGTCTCCAGCTGGAGGTGGGGAGCCTCTTGCAAAACTCCTACTGAAGCAAATGTTTGTGTGTGCATAGAGGATGCAGTGCATGAGCATGAATTGAATGCATGACACCCCACACTGCAAACAGTCCAACTAATGAGAAAGACAACTATTTATCTTTTGCTCATCAAAATCTTTTTGTCTTGTTTTCATATTCTGACCACTTCATTATGTATGTTATCACTCCTGCTTTGTTGGGGAGTTTAGTCTTGCCTTAAAAATCTTCAAGTATGACATCCCACAGATTTGCTCAGTCCAGAAGATTAAAATTTAAACAACTTCTCCATATCTTTCTTTTTGTGGCCCTGCATTCCAGTGCACGTTAATTACAATACTATACAGTAATATATATCCCTTATTCCAAATATGCAGTAGAAACCTCATTACATGATATCACACGAAAGCAAATGTAGCTTTTGATTATTTACTCCTTAAGTAAGTGTTTAGTGTTTAATACAAAATAGCTACTTAGAAATTTTAAACAAGACAAATTCTGTGTTCTAAATTTTTATGAAAGGGAGACTCTTCCTTTATACAAAGGATGAAACTGCTTACAGCGAGTTTTGTTTAAGGTACAAAATTAAATAGCAGTAGCCTCTAACAGCCACCTTGTTTGCCATCAGCAATGAATTTCTTGGAGTACAGAATGTTGTATAATTAGCTCTTAGACAGTGAACTTGTTTGTCAAAGCTAGATAAAAAAGGTTATTAAAACATTTTTATAATTGGTATTTTGTTCTGTCACTCAACAGCTTTTAAAATATTATAGAATGCTACAAATACCA